ATTATGTACATAGGTACTATGTTAACCTGAAAAAGAAAATTCGTATTCGTAGAAGATGATGAATTGTGGTTTTTATCGTTGAAATCCCATATAGTTTTTTCTGATTCCAGCAGTTCTAAAAACTTTATTGTATTTTCATTAATCCACTCGAAAAGCATTTTGGTAGATCGTATTTATTTAATAACAGGACGGCACGCACGTCCGTTCATCCAGGCGCTTGTCGCGAAGTGAGCGATGGAGCTGAATGTGAACACACACTGCCGCTCGCGCTGCCCGTCCTTTGACTTCCGCACGAAAAACCGACATTTCGGGCAGTGTCAGCGGCAGCGGCAGTGTCAGCGCGAGTAGCCTGTTTACATACTGCCCTGCTCACTGCCCTGCTCACTTCCCTGCCCAAACGGGCTGAATGTAAATGGGGCAATAGAGTGCTGCCAGCAGACAGACGAGGACGGCAGTAACTGAAGTTCATAAGATGCCTAAGCGATCAAAATAATAATATTAGCATCGAATATTAACATCGAAGTACTTGTTTTGTCGTTTTCTCTACTAGTTCACATGCGCAGACACTTAGTACACAAAATTGCATCACTTTTACCTATCAAAATTCACTTCTAAACATTATTTAAACGATAAAACATGAGCAACAATCCGTCGACGTCAAGTTCCCGCCAAAACACACGGTAAGTAAAGTAGTGCTAAGTATCGTAGATCATAGTAATTTTAATACCACAGAGATATACTATACAAACTTACATTTTTTTTAAGATAATAAGCAAATAAATAAACTGGGGAAAAATTAAAGACATAATATAGTGTATATAAATAAAGGACAGTAGATTGGGTAGTAGTAGATTAACCCCTCAGTCCCCAGCTAAAATTATTTACACCGCTAGCCCGCTTTGCGTAACGCGGCGTAGCTAAAAATAACCTAGCCTTGAATTTGTAGTACATTTATTTTCTATACAATTCATTATAAATTTCAATATAATACTTGTTTCTGTTTATATATTATGTCATATTACTAGTTTTAGTGTTTTTACTTCATTACAAATATATTTTAATTATATATTTATAGTAAAAATAGTACTTACCCAGCGCAGGGCAGCAGCTCGATTTCCACAATTATTTCTATATATACCTCGAAATGAGCTGTGGTAGCTTAGATGGTTAGCGTTCGCTGTAAATTTCACAGTACGCGAGCAAACCGGGTTCGATCCCCGCCGGCACCAATGAAATTGTTAATTGCAATTTTAAGTGCTGATTTACCACGCGCTTGGCGATGAAGGAAAACATCGTGAGGAAACCTGTATGTCAGAGAAATAAGAAAACAATAAAAATATTTCGAAGACATGTGAAGTTCGCCAACACGCATTGGGGCAGCGTGGCGGACAATCCCTTGCCCTAAAACCCTCCCAGAAATGAGCGGAAGCCTGTGCCCAGCAGTGGGACGTATATAGGCTGTAACTTTACTATTTTTACTTTTATTACTCGAAATTAAATACGTAAAAGATAAATTGTATTCACACAAAAACTTTTATAACAATTTTATAGTAAAACACTATACTAAACACTAAAAAAACCAAAAATCAACACAATAACACTCCACACGAAGTAGGCGTACGAAATGAACATAGATTATAAATAAAAAACCATAGACTCACAACGTTTTGTTGCATTAGAGGATAGGAAATTTTACATAGAGCCTATAATGCCGAACTTCTTCATAGACAAGTAGTCTCTAAATATAAGTTTTAATGGTTTAAAGTGCTGTGGGTGGGTGTGGTCGGATCCGACCCTGGAATTTGACGGAATATCGCCGTAGTCGGATCCAACTGCGTGCCTATTGAGAGGTTAAATGATTTTCGAGAAAATATAAAAAATGAAAACCTTTTATTGAAAAAAATATCGACTGTCGATATACATATTTCAATGCCTAGCCCACCGCACGACCGTGGTACGCCCCTGCGTCCATCGAGCGAACACGCTAAGGCTGATACTACACTTATGGGAAATGTCAATAACGATAAACGCAGCAATTAAAGCTGTAAACTTAACGCGCTTAAGTGAGTGGCTACACTTGAACACTCAACGTCAAATTTCAATGCCATTGAACGGCGTTAAAGTTGGCGTTAATGTTCCTTGAAGACGTTTTATATTTGTTTAAAATGGTTCTTTAAAAACCCATTAGGCATTCCTTCGTCTTTCCAATTCTTCGATGGTTATTTTATAAGGTAATAATTACATAATTCGTCACAAAACAACATTTTGCGAAAACTTTTGAGTATCGGATCCCATGAATATGACTCTGTTTGCAGAACCTCAAGAAACGTAATAACTTTTTTATTATTCCGCTCCATCATAGCCATAAGTGCGATCCCAATGCGCTCATCGTGCACAGTGAGACAAACGTAGTGTGGCCGCCTAAACGCGTAATTTTGTACCGCCACTCGAGTTATCGCCAAACGGCAAACGGCATTGTTAATGCCATTGTCAAATTAATGCGTTAAGTCGTGGCCTCACCTACATTCAACGACCATCAACGCGATAATTAACGGCATTTCTCGTTAGTGTGGCCCAAGCATAAGATTGTATAAATATGATAAAAATAAACAAGTCTAGAATTATTAATAAAATAATTATTTGATCTGTTTGATAATCAAATATGTTGTTTTATAAAATAAATACAAATACATTTTTCGTATTGTATTAAGTTACATAACACATATAAGCACACTATATTTAGTTTAGTTTTCTTTATTTTCTTTGTATTTTCCCCCCTTTGTGAGGGGGGGGTTATTTTAATTTTAGAAGTGTCACAGATAAAATTGCGTGTCATGTAAATTAAAAATAATAAAATTTACCTTAACTACCTTACCTAAACTAACCTTCGGATTGCACCATCAGAAAGGTAAGATCATAATAGTCACCTAGGTCTTTATGAGCCCTTTCAAATGAGATAAAACATGATCATCCTATCTAGCACCGTCACTGAGATCCCATATCCGTCTTCGGATTACACCATCAGAAAGGTGAGATCATAACAGTCACCTAGGTATTTATGAGGCCTTTCAAATGAGTTGAAACACGATCATCCTATCTAGTCACTGAGATCCCATACTCAACTTCGGAATCCATCATCATCAGATAGGTGAAATCATCACAGGCACCTGTATTTAATTGAGTCTAAAAACGATGGTTCTACGTAGTGGCATAATTGATATCCTTTACCCAGATATTGAGTCAGCCATCAGGAATGTGAGTTTATCACACTTACCTAGGTCTATATGAACCTTTTCAAATGAGTCCCAACATAGTCGTACTATGTAGTGCCGTCACTGAGATGCTAAACTTACCTTCAGATTCCACCATAAGGAAGGTGAAATCATCACAGTCATCTAGGTCTTTATGAGTACCATTCAAATAAGTCCAAACACAATAGCTCAATGGAGTGAAGTCACTGAGATCCTAAGCCCCCCTTCGGAGTCCACCATCAACTAGCCGATATCATCACAGTCATCTAGGTCTTCATGAAACTTTTTGAAAATGAATTTTAACACGATGGTTCTACGTATCATTACTGAGATTCTTTGTTCACCTTCTTAGTCAATCCTAAGGAAGGTGAAATCACAGTCACCTTAGTCACCATCCTCCGTCAAACGAAATTCTCTAAATATACAAAATAATAAAAATCTAAACAGCATAAAAATAATGTAAGTAGCTACTAAGAAAGTAAATACCTGTAATTAAAACGAACTGAAACCAGCGGATTACGATGCGCCCGGAAAACAACGTGGATTACCATCAGTTAAAAATTTCAACTTAAGATTTCACACTAACGATCAGTTTTTGGATGTATGTCAGTTCGACTGAGCTGTTTCAACTGACAGTACGCCCGAAAACATCAGTGGGTTGTCGTCAGTTGAAAATTTCAACTTAAGATTCCACACACACGCTGAGTTTTTGGATGTACGTCAGTTCAACTGATCATTTTAACTGACAGTGTGTGGGGACCATTAGAGCAATCATGATGTGGTATCCAAAGATTTTCATTACCTAGTTTAAAACAGTAATAGGGCGTCCATTATTTACGTGAAAACACTTCCGAGGGAGGAGGTACCGAGCTGAAACTCACCCAATCTCAAGTGGGGGAGAGAGAGGGTCTCAGCAAATACCACTTAATTTTAAAAACACTGCCAGTGGGATGGAACAACAATTCGATCCGAGAGTGAAACACTGCCAGTGGGATGGAACAACAATTCGATCCGGGAGTGAAACACTGCCAGTGGGATGGAACAACAATTCGATCCGGGAGTGAAACACTGCCAGTGGGATGGAACAACAATTCGATCCGGGAGTGAAACACTGCCAAATTTCTGCTAATTTCTATTGAGAATTTCTTGACAGATAAACAGAACGACTGATTTTGTTTGCCCCGATCCGGGATTCAAACTCGGGACCTCATGATCAGCAGTTGTGTTTACCACTAGACCAACTAAGGAGTCATGTTAAAGGAATACAGTATTAAATCTAAATAAAACGAGATTTAATTAAAATTGCAAAGAATTTTATCTGTCCCGGGTGACCCCGCTTTTTTTTAAATCTTCATGACCACTTGTCCCGTTAGGCCGAAAAAATATTTGGCTATCCTATTTTCGAGGTTAAATTTATTGATAGCTCAACCACAGAATATATAATAGCCCAACGTTTCCTTTGAGGAATGGGAATATTTTGTCCGTCGTGATAACGGCATCAGGTTAATTACTTATGTATAAAAATAAACCTAGTATTTCGTTGAAGTGTGAGTAAAAATAACATTTTACGCACGGAATCTAGTATCATTTAAAATATCGTGGAGAACGGCCGTCATAATGAAGTTTATTTTAATTATTATCGCTGTGTTTTCAACTTGTTATTGTAAAATAGAATTTAGTGACCGGGCGAGAAACTTCAGTATTGAACTCTTATACTTCACCGCGGAGGAAACTGATTGGCATACAGTGATGTCGCCGTTTGGTGTTTGGTCTCTGCTGACCGGCGTCTCGATCGGAGCTACGGGGTTTAGTAGAGTACAGTTAACAAAAGCATTGGTGATACCGAACAATATAAATACTCTTATCAAACGTTACAAATCGCTAAAACAGTCAGTGCTCAGAGCTGAAACCCCAGACGTGACGATATTAAGCAAGAATTATCTATTCACGGACAGTGATTTCCAAATTCAGCCAGGATTTCTTCGGAGCATACGGAGTGACTTCGGTGCGATATTAACCCAGATACAGTTCAATTCGCCAGAGGAAGCAGCAGCCATAGCGAACAGTGTTATCCAAAAATCAGGAGCAACCGTTTCCAATGTTCTTAGATCTGATGATTTTGAAAATTCAAAAATGATAATTACGAATGTCATTTCATTCAAAGGCCTCTGGCAGTCGCCTTTTAATGTTACGGATACAAGAGTAGAAGCGTTTTATGATGAGAACGGAAATGAAGTCGGCAAAGTTAACATGATGTTCCAGCAAGGGGAACTCCCGTTTTCAAGAATAAGTCAATTAAAAGCCACAGTTTTGGAGTTGCCTTACGGGGATAACACCAACTACTCGTTTTTAGCCCTCCTGCCGTATCCAAGTGTTAAAGTAGCTGATGTGTACAAGGGTTTAGCTACAGTGAGCCTTAAGGATATCCTAGCGATACTTCAAAGAGACATTGACAACTGGGGCTTGTCCAGCATTTATGTCAGTTTGCCGAGGTTCAAAATTAGTTCTAACCTAGTTCTAAATACACCGCTAAATTATATGGGTGTTTACGATATTTTCGATCCAAAAAAAGCTAGTTTCGAGACTATTACAAAATCAAATAACATATTCGTGTCAGCGATTGTACATAAGGCTGATATAGAAGTCACAGAGTTTGGGACAGTGGCGTCTGCGTCCACTTCCGCATACTTTTTAGATCGAATGATGCCGCCCTCCTTCCACGCAAATCGGCCATTCATATATTTCGTAATTGAAAAAACTACAGCGACAATTATCTTTAGTGGTGTTTATTCGAAACCGTCGATTTTTTAAAATAATAAGTACCTTTACAGTGAGTGACGTTGATGCCTATGATGAATTTTAAAATAAAAAGTAAATACAATGTACACTTTTATAATATCTAATATATAAAAATGCTGTGTTTAGTTTGACTGCATTATACATCGTTTTACTAATATTTTTAATTAAGGAATTATAATTTTACTTTTTAAAGTTATATAATTCATAATAAAGCACTTGATATTGTAATAAAGATGGAGCAAAATATCTATAATAAAACGATCACCGACGACCAGTGTCTGACTAGTTGTTTTATAGTGTGTAAAATAAAAGCCTAAGTGACTGTTGTTAAGGTCTGTACTAATGAAATAAATAAAAATAATTATTTTTAATAGCGGCACACGGCTCACTTAATATTTCCGTATTTAACTTCAAAGTTTTAACATTGTTTGAAATGGACATTGTAACAGTATCAGGATAGAGGGAGAAAACTATATAATAAGTGGGTAAGCGGAACTCTAAAAAATATAAAATATAAAGTTTTTATGTTTATTATGCACATAACGCAATCTTTTAAAAAAAATTATTGCTCTCGTTACGGGCTCATATTATCGCCGTGGTGTTTACATTTTATACGGGTTATCACTTATCACTTTAAAAATTATACCTAGAGTCCAGGTTATTACTAGTAATAATACTATATAACATCAAAATATACAATATTTATTACCATAATAAAACCCGTGAACTAAAAACTTAAGTTATCATTTAGTCCTTGCAACATAGTGCCAAGAATTACGTAGTTTATATGTATATATACATATACATATACATATACATATATGTATATATATATATATATATATATATATATATATATATAATATATATATATATATATATATATATATATATATATATATATATATATATATATATATATGTATATAATCATAGCCAAGAATCCTAGGAGCGAGAAAATTCAGCCAGTTCTTGTCATCATCGACGCCGAAGTCACGAAAACAGTTGCTTTAGGAACTTCACCGTACGCAGACCTCACTGATCGATAATCTCTAAAGTAAACGGCTCCAATTTGTAGTTATCTCTCAGAGACTCATACTTAAGTCACTTACTCAGTTCAGCCGTTTCTATGCTGAATCAGCTTTGAACGATACTACGGACCTCCATTTGGCACGATCCTGACACACCTCTCTCATCTCCTTTACCGTGGTAAGTGGTCGCTGTGGCCCATAGACATCTACATCTCGATTAAGAATCAAAATGCAGATGCGTTGTCACCCCTGAGGAATAAGATGGAATGCCTTGTTTCCAGTAGAACGGATCTCCGGTTCTCTACACTTACCATACAAAACACAGCTGCATTAAGCTACATGCTATTTTGCGCTGGTGTTCTGTGAGAGCGTGGTCCGTCCCCGGTTGAGCCGACCCATTCGTGCTACAACTATACTATGTACTAATATAACTGCAGCATAGCTATACCACCTATAAAATCTGTCCCATTATCAATATATCTATTATAAACAACCTACATATATTGCCCGTCGGTTGTCGGTTCCTCGAGCTTTATTTGTTTTACCTACTAATATATGGTTAAGTATATACTATTTACTTTATATTATAAGTCCTTTATACTCCTATATTGTTATTCCTATATTGTTTATTTACTTTAAAACTAAATTATATTGTTTACTTTCTTAGAAACCAAACTAATTAGGTTGTAATATTTAAATACTAATTAATGTTTATTGTTCCAAAGTTTACCATTCTTAATTATATCTTGGAATAAGTTACGATAAACACAAACAAGCATAATGTTGTTCCCCATATCTTTACCCCCATCTCCTAGCTTCTTAAGATCCTACATAGTGTAGTACATCCTATATAAACCAAGTCCTTCGATCCCATAACTGCGCCCTCCTTTCTGCCAAGGAGGGTCGCGTCCGTTTACAGTTTAAAGATCTCTCGTCAGATCGTTAAGCCAATCCCAAAAGGTGGAGTTTAGTGGGTAAAAGTTCCACATAACCACGCAGCCGGCTGCGTGGTATGCTATGAGCATTCTCCACCTTCCTCCCCCGTTACCGGAAGGTTGCCCTTATTTGCTTCGGGCGCAAAAAAAATCCCACAACACAATTCTATTTCCAATATCTCTGAATCAACTTCTATGTTTTATGTTAGTTTATATTACAGTTAAATATATTAAATAAATTTATTTTTAAAAGAGTTTTTGTCTGTGCCACATAATAGGTTAAGAATTTTAGTCCGCAGGGCTCCTAGTTCGAATCCCACACTGAATAAATGTTTGTCAGTAGAGCGGATGGTCCTTATGAAATTTATGTGTGTAAACCGCCTCCAAGATACAGGAGAAAATCCTACGGCGGAGCAGCGTTTTTAAATATACTTGTTGGCGACGCGCCTATAAGAATATTTCAATTTATTAGTTAACCGATTACGAATGGCTTCTAAAAGGCAAATTATCAAGCAACAATATTCCGATAAGAAACTGCTTAGTTGAATCTTAAAGAAATATCGAATTAATGATATGAAGGTCTTGGGTTCGACTCCCAGGCCGGAATAGTTTATCGTTTTCTTAGTAATATATCTTAATAAATTCATATAGGGAATTTTAAGATATAAATTATGTTACCGGATTTGTTCCCCGGTCGAAATCATCTTTCCAATAATGTTAATTTATAAAGAAATATTAAAATAAAGTTAGAGACCAGGATTTGTTCCCCGGTCGAGATGATCGCTGTGCATAAGTAGAATTAATGGAAATTAATTGCATAAGTATTGTCTTATATGAGTTTGATATGTTTTGTATGAAAACAAATGCCTATTTTCTATGATTGATTTATGAAAACATTCACTTATATTGTTTGATAAGAAACATGATAACTGATAAGAATCTGAGTAGAGGTAGTTTTCGGCGTTTGAGAATTGAGTAGAATCATTTATTCACCTAGTATTGTTATATTAGTGTATACTAAACTTTCTATTTTTACTGATAGTCGATAGCCGTGCAAAAGTTAGTTGTTCAAATAGTGTGAGTTCATAGACGCACGCTAGCCACGTACTTAGGAGGCCAAATATGTAGAAATTTAAATATTTGCAAATTTCGGCAATTTATGTAAAATGACTTGTAAAACATTTCAGATTGATTGTACGTGTAAAAGAGGTGAATTTTGTGTTATTTTATGTGAAAATTCCTGTGAATAAGTGAAATAATGATAGTTTTGTATAAGAAATTTAAAAGTGTTTTAATAGTGAAATGTATAGAGAAAATGTAAATTAAACTATTGTATTAGTTAAGATATGTATAATTTCAAGTGGAAAACATTGTTTTAACTTTCTATGTTAAATATTTAAGAAATTCCAACTTTGAACATGTGAGTAAAATAAGCATATTTTGTTAAATAAATAAAAGGGTTTTTTGTGATATGAAAATGTAATGTATATCCTAGTATAGATATTTTTTGTGCTATCTTTATAAGTAAATTGTATAAATGTATGTCTTATACAAATAAAGTTATTGAGCAAACCGTGAGAGAGTGATAGTACAAATTGATGTAATTGAGTTGCGCAAGCGCACAAATGGCGCGGCTCACTTTCGCGTTTAGCTTCGAGGTAGTTCAGTAAATTGATTTTTCTTGCAAATAGTTACCATCAGAAACGGTTGGTCCCACAGATCAAAGGGCAACCACCGGGGCGACTCTCCGACCTCCTGCCAACGACGCCACCGAGAGGCAACCCTCCAGGAGGAAGAGGCGGAGGAACAGGAGTAGGAGAACGGAGCAGCCTCCTCCTCAGGCTGTGACCACCTCTACCCCTATGACTACAGGACCAATAGCCTCCCAGGCGCAGGTTACTACAAGAGCACCAGCACCACCTACGGCAGGTAGAGCACCTGAAAGGGCCCTGCCAGAAAGCAGCAGAGCTCGCTCTACACACAGAGCGCGCTCAATGCAAAGGAAGACAAATATTAATGCCCCGAGACCAGTGCCTTCACAGCGTAGTTCAGATCGCAGACCACCAGCGTCCGGCTTCGAGACGGCTGATGCCATCCATAGATTGGTAGGCATAGCCATCGAAGTCGGTACACAAGTCCTGGCCGACATAAGGGCCGGGACTGATCCCGTTACCGCCGTCATGAAGCGCTGGCATCCTTACTGGCAAGGCACTATGGAGGATAGCAACCTGCGCCTGCTATATTGGAACCCGGACGGGATTCGTCAAAGGATCCATGAACTCCGCACTCTCACCCAGCAACAGGACATCCAGGTGATCTTGCTGGGTGAAACAAAATTAAGACCTACAACGCATCTTAAGCTGCCCAATTACCATATATACAGGAGGGACGAGGTCGATCCTCAAGGGGTCGCTTACAGAGGGACAGCGATCCTGGTGAGGAGAGACATCGTCCACCAGGAGCTGGAACTGCCAGACTTCCAAACGATGCGTTCAATCGGCATAAAAATGGAGGCGGCGGGCGAGGAACTTAGGATCTTTGCAGCATACCGCCCGCCAGGGACTCCATTTCACTCCTCAGACATCCGGACGGTAATGGAAGGCACAACACCCACCATCATCGCCGGGGACCTGAACGCCAAACACCCGGCGTGGGGGTCCAGAGTGATCACCCCGCCGGGTCGTGAACTGTATGAAGACGCTGAACACCACGACTATGACGTTCTAGGTCCCGAGGAACCGACGCACATTCCTAGCGACCATAGGAAGCGTCCGGATGTATTAGACATCGTGCTCACTAGGAACGTCAACTATCCAGTAGTGGTAGAAGTGCTGTATGACCTGAATACACAGCACCTCCCGATTCTGATAACCCTTGGCACTAAGGCAGTGACCTCACCGCCCAGAGCCAGTAAGACCAAGATCGACTGGAGGCTCTACCACCAACACCTGCAGGAGAGACCTCCAGTCCATACACCGATTACCTCAGCGGACGACGTAGAGGCCGCTGCAACCAGAATTTCCACGAGCATCAAGGAGGCCCTCAA